TTTTATGTACAAAAGGGTAGAAACCATGCCTATAGGACTTTTATTGTTAATCTATGCAATCTCACAAGTAGAAACCATGCCTATAGGATCTAACTTTATGATTTCTGCAACTATGCATATAGATACTATGCCTATAAGGATTTGCATTTTTGCATTTATAATGACATTAGGCAAATCGTTAGGTTTAATGATAAATCAGCATATAGATATCATGGTTATAAGGCTGTTAACGTTTGAAAGGTATTAAAATCAGTAACTCATAGGGATCATGCCTATAGGAACTTCAAATCAGAATTGTTTCACTCGTCTAAAACAGTACTGACCCTTTTTGCTAAAACAAGCGACTTTCTGCACGTTTTATGAACCCTTAAAACTTTTCTTGCAACCAAATCAGTGCATCTTTTTCCTTCTTGATAAATATTCTCAAATCAGTGCATATTTTCTGAAAACTTACTGCTTTCCTGATAATTTGACAAATATTTTTTTCAAATCAATCTGAATTCACTTCTTTATACTTATCTGATAAACCTTTTGAATCAGTCTGCAATTCAGTTCTTTTGTTAAAACTCGGAAACTCTTTTTCTTAAACAAGTATGTTTTCTGAAACTCGTTTTAAACCATTTTCTTTGTATTAAGTCTGCAATCTTTTCTGAAACTTATCTTATTCTGCAACTCCTTTACAATCAGTAGTTCTGTCCCACACTTAAGGTAAAGTTGACTAATTAAAGTGGCTCAGTCTTTGACAACTGCATTCGAGTGAGCCTAATGCGGACTTCCTGTCTAAAAGTATGTTGAATCAGTCCGCTTATCGCTTTAATTTTTAAAGACCAAACCAGTACATGCAAGACATGCTAAACTCCATGGCTTATCTGATTTAAGGAGGTTTACATGAGCCTTACCTGCTTATTTGCTTTCTCCTCTACTTGTATTATGTGTTTTTGATTGACGCCCTAGTATTTTTGTCTTTTGAAAACTCTCAAAAGGCCCCAAATATCTTTCCCTTTAGGATTAGTAGTCCTAAATGCCTCCGGGACTGATAGGATTGGGACGGGTACTAGCATGCAATAAGTAACAAAACTTTCCGCGCTTTAATACCTTAACGGGGTGGGAAGGGTAGAATATGGATATGATGACCGGTGCACTAATATCACGTGCGACCCCTCTTCTGAGGAGTGATTGTTGGATATTGCATTGAAGTGATCCATATTAATCAAAAACCTAGGACCCCCTTCCCTTTATTTGCTTTCATCTCTTCTTGTAAAACTATTCAAATACTTTTTCATAAATTTCTGCCCTCTCTACTTGCCTTCAAAAGTTCTCTGCCTAATTGCAATGTTATATGCGAGTCCTTATTTGAGCCTTGATTGTTTACTTCACAATTGTAACATGGCCGGGTACCACACTAGTGGATCTTGAGGGGTGCCTAATACCTTCCCCTCGAGATAATTTCTAGCCCTTACCCAAACTCTGGTTCTTCATCTCAGACCTTGGCCGCCGAGAAGGTTATTCCATTTCCTTCAAAAATCATGTTGATAGTCAACCGATAAGGGTCTTTTGTTATTTTCGAAGGCTCCGCATTGTCCCGACTGCGGTTGTAATTGTTCTTGGCTCGGTCGATCAAGAACTCCCCGATGGCCATTCTTCAATAATGTCGCCACCTCCTCATGCATATGCCGGTAGTCCCCAGTTCTATGGCTGTGAGTACCATGATATTCGCACCATTAGTTAGGGTCCCTCTGGTAGGGATCAAATCTGATTGACTTCGAGAATTGTGCTTCTTTATATTCCTCATCGCTGACACTAATTTCACTATACTGATGTTGAAATTGTAATCCGACAACCTAGGATATGTGGATTCCCGGTCCCTCAATACTTCTTTTTCTTGTAATGATCTGTTGTTCCGGCCGTGGTCAATTTTTATATCGGGGGCGAACCTATCCGAGGACCAGAACCCTTTGCTGCCACGTCCTTCGATTCTCTTATATGGAAGGAAATGACCTTTAGAAGATCGCTGGTCTGCATCAAAAATGCATTTCAACTTATCTCGATTCCTGTCTCGGTCACGTCCTTTGTTTGATATCGGAAACCCGAGCTGATCATCTTTTATTCTTATTTTTGATTCATAGCGGTTATGAACATCCACCCATATAGTTTCTTGGAATTCGAGCAGGCTTTCTTTCAGCTTTCGGGAGGCGTCGAAGCTTCTTGGATTCAATTCCTTTGTGAATGTCTGCGTTGCCCACTCGTCTTGTAAGACCAGTAGAAACATCCTCTCTTTCTGGAATCTAATCTGAATTCCTGCAACATTTTGGACTCATCTTGAGTGATTCTAAATATGTCCGCCTTCTTGGCTTGGACCTTTTTGGCTCCGGCATGGCCTTTATAAAGGAATCAGCATTTCAAATGAGTCAATTGAATGCTCGGGTAAAAGTGAATACCATGTCAGGGCCCCCTTTGTGAGGGTTTCTCCAAACTTCTTTAGTAGAACCTATTCGATCTCATGTTGAGCCAAATCGTTCCCTTTTCACAGCCGTGGTATAAGTTGTGATGTGCTCATGCGGGTCTTAAGTCCCATTGTATCTTTTTATGTCCGTCATCTTGAACCTTTTCTAAATTAAATCCGATGCTGCGCTCGGTTTAAACTGCAACTGAGTATAAATGGGTCTTTCAAAACTGGTGGTACTCCTAGAATCTGATCCATTCCAGCGTGAAATTCCTTCGCGTTTTGATCCATCCGTTCGTTCATTTCCCTTATAAATCTCAGGAGCTCAATTTTGAAGGGATCATTACTGTTATCATTACCAAATCCGGTGTCGGCACCACGGCACCGTCAAAACTGACCTCACCCCTCAGGGTATTATTATCAACTCTTAGAGCTGTTTAATTTGCGGGAACGTCGAGAGGAACCAGACCCCTTCCGTTTGCGTTGTTGGAAGCGCCTGACAACGCTTGCTTCAATTGCATTATCACCTGATCCTGCCTTAAGAGGTGGCTCATGATGACTTTCTGTTATTCTCTTAGGATTCTTACTATTTCCACAACATGTTCCTCTTGCGCATCATCAGGAGTCGGCTCCCGTGCATGTCGATGATACTGTCCTTCATGAATCGGGGTTGTCTCATCCCCATCGGTGCGAGTGTCGCTGATTAAATTCTCATGTTAAGGCAGATTTTCATATTCCTCAACGTTGTGTGCGATGTTGACATCGTTAGTTGCCATTTTCAATTTCTTGCTAAGGAACAAAGAATCAAACAAGTTAATAATAAATACAAGGATCAATTCACTTACGAACTGTCTAAGCCCCAGGGTGGGCGCTAAACTATTTACCCGTAAAACGGTACAATGAATTTGTTACGTGGTTTATAGAAAAGCAAACTGATTCGACCCAAAAATAATAAATAAACAAGACTAAAAATAAGACGTAGCAGTTAAAATTGAAGGAAATGACGAGCTTGGCTCCGAGAGTAATGCCTCCGAGGACATATATGAGAACAATGTAAAAGAGAAAGTAAAGTTATTTGATTGAGCTTGAGAATAGAATATAGCATAAGTTTGCCAAGAATTTTGTCCTTATAATTGTTGTTGAGCCTATTATTTATGTCTAAATTCAGGGAAACAAGATCCTAGGATCAAACTACTATTAAATGATAATAAATGGGCAATTGATGAATATGTAATGGCAAGCCATGAATGCAAATATTCTCTGCAATGACTGCCCATTTAATGTTAGAGAATATTCTTTATTGAATACTATCTAATGGCAAATATTCGAATTTCTCCCCTTGACCAGGTTCCTTTCGGGGTTTATCCGATACCAATTGCAGTTGTTGTTCCCGGTAATGATTATCACGTGATTCGCCTTTTACCTGTCTTCGGTTCCACGTAGCGTGCATCATTTGATCATTTACTATGGACCAATTTTACCCTATACATATGTCATAAGGTAAATTCTAAAAATAACTAATATTGAATTGATATTTTACGACAAACAACTAAATACATTAAATAGATATAGGGAGTTCAATTTGTAGGAATATTATTTATAAAAAGAAAAACAATTAATGAAAACTCACAGATAATATATTATTATTTTTTATTGTTTCAAATTTATATTTTTACAAATTTTTAATAACAACAGTTTGACTCTTAATATTATACAATAACTAATTTTGCTTTATTTCTTATTTCTTTCACTGTTAAACGCACTTCTTATGGAACACATATAAGTATCATAGGAGTTTTTTTCATTTGGAAAAGAATTAAATTGCATTCTTTTACTACTTAGGTAACTCAATAATTAATTATTTATTCTAAACATTATAGAAAATAATTTTTCGTTGATTTAAAGTTTTAATATAGCTAATCCCAGGTTTTAATTAGCTATAATTATAATTTGGGATAATTTTGGAATTCCCTCTAGGTTTCTCTTTATAACACAAATCTCTACTATGGTTTGAGAGTTACGAACATCTCTTTTATTTTTATTTTCTGTAATAAAACAAAATTCACATGATAAAATCTAATAACATATATATACATAATATTCTAAGTTCGCATCTTGTTTTACCAATATTGCAGAATAATTTTTTCGTTTTCATGGGAGGAATTAATCCAATAATCTCGAACAATGATAAGAGGTTAAATTTCTTAAAGATACACGAACAACTTGTAGACTCGGTTTTGTTAATCTCATGACTTCTGATTTTCTTTTTATAAACACAGTTTAATAGCACTGTCTAGCTACGAAATTGTCTGGTTTTTGTACCTCAATTACACACTGGGATCAATGAACTCCAGTACAGAATTTATATCATTTGCAAGTATAACTCGTGTATTTATTTTGTGCACGGGGAAATAGACTCATATTCAACGAATTTTTTAAATTTACTAGTATATGGGTTCGGAACTGTAAGCAATTTAGTTAATTGGGTTCTAAATTACTAAATTGTAAATGATCAATGAATTGTTTAAAATAACACAAGGTTTAAATCAAAACTACTAGGTTTGCCGTACCCATTGCCAAAACATTGAACAGTCTATAATTAAATACTATCTATCATTTTTTCTTTTTTGTTATTCTTTCTCTCATCTTTCATTCGAAAACCCAAGTCTTTTTCTTTTGGTAGGAACACCAAAAGTCATACTTTATTCCATTCCAATAATCCTCACTTTACTAACTTGATCATAAGCCGCTGGGTGATCCTCTTCTTCAGCATATATACAGAGAGACAAATATGGTAGCTGATGGATTAGCAAACTATGGTACACACTTATCATGCAGCAACAACTTATAACTTTTTGATACACCATCACTTTTTGTCCACCAACATTTCCATGAAGACAAAGAAGGGGCAGTAAGAAGGAGACTTGTCAGCTCATGCGTTTTTGTTACCCCCATGTTCCCCCAAATGTAAATCCATGCACAACTATGCTCTCCGCTCCTCCCTCCGGTAACGTTCCATCTAGTTTTTGTAATGATCCTTCCAAGGATCCTAGTAGTGAAGTAGCTAGTAGTTTTATTACTGATCCACCTCTGGATCATAAGTATAACATAGTAATAAAGTAATCTTTTATGACCCAAAAAAAGTCGTACTTTACAACTTCTGCCACCTTGGATCAGGACTCAGGAGTAATATTTTATGACATAACTCACTAAATCCTTTTAAGCAATTGTCAGTATCTTTTTTTTTCCTTCCATTTGTTTGACAAACAAAGGGTAGAAATAGAATAACATGAGAAAGAATAGATTTTTCTTGAAAGCGAAGAGACGGAGATGAGTGTGCTTTCATTTGTGCATGGATTGCTAACAAAAAGAATTAGTATATTGTTTGCCCATTTTACAAAGAAAATAAAAGGTGTGCTATATTTTAGAGTAAATATTTATCTATTCGACGTTTACATCAAAATTAAGTAACTTAATCTTATTAATTAAAAATAAAAATGAAATTAACATATTGGGATGCCATATTTACAGATTCTAAAAATCTATTAACAGTCGGAGTAGTCATCCCAATATCCTCTGTCCCTTCTCACACAAGTAGGTGTTTCCGGGATTTTACTTTTGGCCGGTACTTTTAACTCTAAATTTTTAGTGGTAAATAAATATTTGTGCCAACAGGGATTGCCGTATTTGTGGCGATTTCTGTGCGTTTGTGTAGCCAGGCGTTGTGCATGTGAAATGTTCGATGAAATGTCTAGCTGAAAATTTTGGTGAGACGTATTGGATTTTGTAATTAATTGGTTACTCCATAACTTGTTTGCAGCTTTCTTGGATAATTTTGGAGTTGAGCGGAAAGCTTAGTAACTTATCGAAGCTATGGAGGGGGGAGAGGATCAGGTGAAGAAGGAGAGGGTAGTAGAGGCAAGAGCAAGAAACATCAGCCACAATGTCAGGTGTACAGAGTGTGGCAGTCAGTCCATTGAAGATTCTCAAGCTGACATTGCCATTCTCCTCAGGAAGGTATCTCTTCTGTTTTACATTTTCACTCATTTGAATCACTAGTTTCCACAACAGCAACAATTCTAAGAAAGTTGAGGTCTAATTCTCACTAATTATGTCGCTCCATTTAGACCCGTATCTGTCAAATATTTAAAAAGTTAGGTTCTTTATGATCGGTTTCCACAGTTGTACCAAAAATAAATTTTTAAAAGAAGTATAATAACAAACTAGCTCTGACCAACATGTGTGTGCTGCTGATGGGTATTTAGGCTAGTCGAGTTCCTTTATCCGGCATTCACATATTCCTACTCTTTTGATGATATCATGGTCTGTATGAGATGAGGTAATAAATAGGTGTAGAAAGAAAATTCAGCCAGATGTATAGAATTTTTCTTTTTCGGGTTGAGATTTTAAGGCCAAGTTTCAATAATAAAGCATTCCTAGAAAGGCCACAACTACTCACAAGGCTCATATAATAGATGTCGGATAGAGCACGCGCAAAACATGTAAGGTCTGTTTTAATAACTGGAAGTGATATGTAGTTGAAATGGAGGAAGCAAATCTGCAATACGAAATTCATCTATTTCCTTAGCATTGTCAAATATTGTTTGTGTATATATTAATTTCATTTGGTAGGGGTGTGCTTCACTATGTAATTTGGGCTCTAAGTTTCTAGATAATAAATATCTTCTAGGAACTCCTTCATAGATATAAAGAAAGTATTTCTTTTTGATAAGGTAGAGTTTTCATTCCTCATTGACGTTTGCAGATAAAGAAAGTTTTTTTACTTAGCAGCTTGTTGATTCCTCTGTTTATCAATAACCACATGCATTGCATAGTGGATGTAAAGAAGTAGACCATTATCTCGGCAATAATGAGCCAAATTAGTATTTTCTGTGAATCCACCCGTTAAGTGACTGTGCATTACGATTGGAACGCCCAATTCTCTATCAAATACAAATCTTTTAATCATTTCTTCGCATGTACCTGCAGTAGCATTCAAGTAATGCCCATTGATTCACCTGTTTCAACCTGTGCTTTATGAATTGCTTTGGCACAAAATAAGAAACTATGTCTCCAACACATAAATGGTTGTCAGTTCACGTTGCTATGCAAGCTTAATTACAGCTGAGGTAAACGAACAAGCTGCCCCTGGTAACCCTTTTGAAGGTGCTTAGTTCTTCCGTTTACATTTAAGACAACAATAGGTTTCCCCATATTACTGACATTTATTTTTCTCCCTTCAACTAGTTTTTTCGCCTTTTCTCTGATAATGAGTAAACTGAATTCTTTCAGTCGGTCTATATTGTAATTGACCTTTTCCATGATGGGTTTGGGCTCTTGAGCCGATTGAATATGCTATATTCTGGATTGTCCTTCATTTTTGAAAAAAAGGAAAAAGCTCTATTCTGGACTGTCAAGGAACTATTTCGTCTCTGTGCTGCTAAATATTGCATTTGCTATCTCTTCGACGTAGAGGGTGATAGCCAGATGTGGACTCAAGATTTGAAGGTCGGGGGTGCACTTTTGGATTCAATCAAAATCTTCTTTGTGTATAGGGTGCCCATTACTAATATATCACTATTTTCTAAAGACATATACATGTGTACATGGAAATTTTTACCGAATTTTATGGTTGCCGGTGTCTCAGTATAGCATAGGTCCGCCTCTGGTGATAGCTGGGAGCCAAACACAGAAAACAGCTTCTGCATAGTAGGTTAGTCTTTTTTGTTTGTGGGACTTGCTTCTGATGGATAAAGAGTTAATCCCAGAGCTAAAACCACGAGTTCCTGAGTTTTGTGGTAATATCTCGTTTTTTAATTAGGTTGGCTCCTATGAGAGTGTTATGTCGGTATTCTACTGTCTTCTCAACCAACTTACTAATTACCTTGATTATCATACTTCAGTAGAATGGTATTCACACACAAGGGAATTTTTCATTTAGGAGGTATGTCATAGGTCCTCTTTGCTTTGCATCATGTGGCTTTAGGTCTTTTTCATTTATCTAATCCAGATATTCTCTTTGGCAATTGTATGTTTGTTCTACTTATCAGAAATTTTAAAAAAATGAAAAATGGAGGACTTATATATATGTTCGTCGAACTGTACTTGTGTCCTGAGCCGAGGGTCTATTGGAAACGGCCTCTCTATCCTCACAAGGTAGGGGTAAGGTCTGCATACACACTACCCTCCTCAAACCCCACAGTGTGGGATAATACTGGGTATGTTTGTTGTTGTTAAACTGTCCTTGTGTCCACGCCTAAGTAATCCCAAATATTGGGCCTGGTTGTTGACTTGGGTCATCTTTTTAGCTAATTCGGGATGAAATTCGAGATGGGAAATCTGACAAGGAGATCTACAGAAAGCTTGAGGATGATTTTGGTGAGACAGTACTTTATGCCCCAAAATTTGATATGCAGACGGCTGCTTTATGGCTCTCTCCGGTCAGTTAAAGTTTGCTCTCTACCTCGGCCTTGTTTTTTCAAGATTATATTAATAGACAGAGGCGCTGAAGTTGTTTGAATTTTTTTTGACACAGCTACTAGTTGCTGGGGCTGCTGGAGGCATGTGGGCTTACAAGAAGCACAGGCAGAAGACTAACGTGCACATTATGGCTCTGAATCTCGTTCGAGGAATTCCATTAACACCAATGGAAAAAGAAACTATGCTCGAGGTCCTCACACCACCTCCTGGAGGAACTTCGTCCTCCAGTTGGTGGAGAAGATGGCTTCAGCAGTGAAAGTTTCTTTAACCTACCATCACTTGTAGCATATTGTTCTGCTGTATTATTGCAAACTTCGAGCTAGTCAAGTGTCAAGATGCCACCCTATCCATGTCATTTTGCATTGGCGTGTTTGAATTGGTCATTGAGATTACACATTTTTCTAAAGGTATTCCCTGAAATAAGTGATCGACATCTTATTGTACAAAACGTACAACTTGATCATGAGCTGACTTCACACTAACGGAGATAAACTACTTTTTTCTGCTTCTCAAAAAGTGTTTCTGCTTCTCCTCAAAAACATTTTTTTTCTTCTAAAAGCTTGGCCAAACACCTCAGTTTTCGGCCAAAAGCACTTTTGGCCAAAAAAAAAAAAGCTTGGCCAAACAGGCTATAAATATTACTCCCTCCGTTCCAGTTTATGTGAATCTATTTCCTTTTTGGTCCGTTCCAAAAAGAATGACCCCTTTCTATATTTAGAAACAATTTAGCTTAAACTTTCAATTTTACCCTTAATGAGAAGCTTTTATAACCACACAAATAGCGTGAGCCCCTTTTTGACTTGTTTAGGACCACAAATTTCAAAAATCTTTATTTTTTCTTAAACTCCGTACCGAATTAAACAAGTTCATATAAATTGGAACGGAGGAGTAGTATAATTAAGGGGAGTGCCGTTGACTACAGTGGATTTGAAGTGTCTAATCGATTAGGTTTTCAAAGTCTACGCAAGCTTTTTTCTTGCTTATCAAGTGGACCTCATTGCTCTTCTTCCTACTTAGACTCTAGAGCTTAAGATACAATGGGTAGAGTTGATTCCTCTAAATCTAATGAAGTTGAAACTCCTCGTATCCAGCAGAGTACCAAGGAGCTATACACACACCAACACCAATGCTAACTAGATGTCTCAAGGTCGAATCATAGGAATGAGTTTGGATCAGCTCCGGTAAATAACCCTCCAGTATTTTTCAATGGCCTCTTTGATTTTTGCCATGTGTACACTTAAAATTGAAAGGTCCAAATTGCATCCGTCTTCTTTCTTGAATCTTGACTTTTCCAACATACCCACGGCTGAAAACTCATTTTATGCCTAAGTAATACATCTCTTTTAGGATCAAGCCACAACTGCAGTGCCAAATAGACTACTCCCTACCTCCAAGTCAGAAAAGCAGAATTTTCGGCATCCATAGCACTTCTACCTTTGAACAAACCCGTAAATGCACGTAGGATCAAGTTAAGAGCTTAATTTTATTGTCCTTGAAAAATTCAGAAAAAGACAAATAGAAAGGTGATATTGGAAAAACGTTTTGAACTAACACCTAGAGAAGACTACAATGGAGAAGCAAAGTAAAGCTTATGTAAGCAAGGGTAACTATGAGTTTCAATAATATATTAAAAATGGTTTAAGATGGTAATAGAGCAGAAAAGGAAATTTTTCAAGCCATGGAATTATTTAAGGATTATTTAAAGAGAGGTCTAAGCGTCTACCGTTGAAAGAGAATGGAAGCAAGAGGAGATGCAATTTGGACCTTTTGATTTTAAGTGTACACGTGATAAAAATCAAAAAGGCCATTGAAAAATACCGGAGGATTATTTACTAGAGCTGGAGCTGATCCAAACCCCATAGGAATATGATCCTCTTTGATAGGGAACACTAATAACCCAATAGTGGACTTTTAAGGTACTGACTTGGATTAGTCGGACCAAAGAGTATTGGACATCTGAAAGTTAAAGCAAAAATAAATAAATGTAGAACTTTCTCGAAAAAATATTAATGTATCCTTATCTTGCGGAAGTAATAACGATATTAACACTCTTGTTTGTGTGCAGCTACTACGACAGTATTTTTACCTTGTTTGACGTTCGGGCAGATAGCTGAAGTTCAAGATGCAGGATAAACGAGTAATTGAATCCTCTTTACTTCAATTTGGATTCTGTTCAATTGCCTTCTAAAAGAAGTAGGCGTTCAGGTAAGAATTGTGAAATTACAAAAAATGGTGAAAAAATTGTTCAAGTGAAAATGGTATTTGAAATTTAGAGTTGTATTTGGACATAAAATTCAATTTGGGTTGTTTTTGAAGTTTTGTGAGTGATTTGAGTGAAAATTTGAAAAACAGTTTTTTGGAATTTTCAAATTTTCGAAAATTTTCAAAATGCATCTTCAAATGAAAATTAAAAATTTTATGAACAAACGCTATTTCGAAAAAAGTGAAATTTTTTTTAAAAAAAGGAAAAAAAATTTATGTCCAAACAGGAGTGTGTTAACATTTTTTTGATTTAGGAACTAGAGTCAGTGAAATCAGAATGAGTATGATCTAACTAGACGTTTGCATTTTAAATGCTTTTGAGTATATGTAATTTAGGTTGAAAATAATGGTTCAACTGAATCCACATAACCCATCATAGATCTGCCTATGTGCTTCTTACAAGTAAAAAAAGAGTCGTAATTCAACTACTTGTGAATATCACAAAAGCTATATAAAGAAAAAGAAACACATATTTTCTTAACATTGTCTGGTATGTTATTAAAGAAAGATTATACGACGGTTTCTTGTATATGATTATTCTTTAATTTCTCGGACTCCAGCTTCAGTTTCTTTTACTTATTTTTCATGTAGTGCTAAATTTTTAAAAAACAAAATTCTCTTCTTAAATTATCTTAAAAACACCTCCATCTCTTCCTCCTCTGACATCTCTTTTCAGTTTATTACTAAATGATTGTATACGGTAGAAATCAGGGCTACCCGATTTTACTATTTGGTCGAGATAAGAATGGCCACGTCGAGGAGCTAGGACGTCGAATCCGAAATCAAAGCCTCTTTTCAGATCGAGATCGACATCAATCGAGGCCAGAAAGAAACAAACTTCGAGTAACATCGGCATAACTTTATAACGGGAAGGGCGAGATATCCGCGATTGGTCGAGGATCGTGGCGTAAATCTCGAAACGGATCAATCTATGGTGGTTAATCAGCTGTTAATATAATTTCCTACTATAATTAGAAGTGTACCTTAATTAGGACTCCTCTATTATATAAAGAAGAATTACATTCATTTGTAATCATCATTGCTCACTGAGAAGAATATATACAATCATTTCTTTCTTGCTTGCCACTTACTTACTGTTCATCCGAGTTGCCTTATTCTTCATTATTCATATTATATCACCTCGAGGTTACTTTGGTTCAAGGTCGAGGCTTAGCTTATATACTGGTTTGATTTATTTTGCAGTCTAATTTACCCATTCATTTTCTCGTTTATCAATTGGTATTGGACGAAATCACATATCCTTAAAACCACAATACAAATTTAAATGTTATCCAAATTTTAGGGTAAACAGTTTGGCGTCCACCGTGGAGCTAAGGATAATAGTGATTATTCAATATTGATTCCGATAACACACACTATTTTACGCTTGTTCTTGTCAAGTATCTTTACTTTCAGGTTAAAACATGTCAAACTCACAAAACGACCTACACATGGTGACAATGGCCTCCGATTTCATGGGGAAAACGACAATGTAATTGCACCAGGGGTCAAAGTGCCACAAGCTGATCTCGGGGGAGCACCGATTGCCAACCCAGTCGATGTCAGTTCGCACGTTTCTTTAAATGTAGACTTGGACACAAACCCCGAAGGGAGTATTCGCAGAGAAGGCCGATCTGGCGGCCAAGGTGCACAGAGCAGAGGTGATGGAGGAGTTAGTCTCCAGGTAGTATTCGAAATGTTACAGGCTCAGCAAGCCGCTATTGCACAACTACATAATCAACATAGAACATCGAGTTGAATCGAACTAGAAGCCACCCGCCGTGCCGAGCCAGTACCAGAAAGGCTGAATAATAATGAATTGGGGACCAATCCTACAATAATGAAAATGCTCGAGGAGATCACCAAAAGAATCGAGTCGGCAGAAAAGAAAATTGAAGCTAATGATAAGAAAGTAGAGACATACAACTCTCGAGTTGATCAGATACCGGGGCACGACCAATTTTGAAAGGGATGGATTCGAATTTTTTTTGTAAAGTAGTTGTTTCCCCCAAGTGCGGTTCCGAAGCCCATTCCAAAAAAGTTTCATATGCCGGACATACCTAAGTACAATGGGACCACCGATCCCAACGAGCATGTCACCTCCTATACATGCGCCATCAAAGGTAACAATTTGGAAGACGATGAGATTGAATCTGTTTTATTGAAGAAGTTCGGAGAGACATTATCGAAGGGGGCAATGATTTGGTACCACAACCTACCGCCAAATTCCATTGACTCATTTGCTATGTTAGCAGACTCTTTTGTAAAAGTGCATGCCGTGGCCATAAAGGTTGCGACAAGGAAATCAGAACTTTTCAAAATAAGACAAAGGGATAATGAAATGCTGAGGGAGTTCGTATCCCGATTTCTAATAGAACGCATGGAGTTGCCACCGATCACAGATGATTGGGCCGTTCAAGCTTTCACTCCGGGATTGAATGAATGAAGTTCGATAGCATCACGTCAACTGAAGCAAAATTTGATCGAATATCTGGTGATAACTTGGGCTGATGTACACAATCGATCCCAAACGAAGATCAGGGTCAAGGATGACCAATTAGGGGCTCCTTCCAGTTCAGTGCATCCAAACAGGTCAGCAGCTAAAAATTAGAGGGACGTCAACACGGAGCCACGTCGAACAAAAATCGATATTAACCGTATATCGTAGAAATTAGGGCTGTGCATGGATCAGATCGAATTGGATCTAACATATTTCGGATTTCGAATTCCACAAAATGCAATCCGATCTAAATTATATCGGATTGGATCGAATTTTAAAGTTTGGATCGGTTAATATTTTAGATTTTCGGATCGGATTTTACGTATTATTAAGGTCTTTTTCTTTTATTCTTTTTTGCGTTTTCCATTCCTGGTTAGACAAACAAATTTGGTGGTTAGGCAACTTACTAATTCATTCCAATCTAAATTATGGTAAGACATGAAAGCTTCATGATGAAGCACACTGTAAAGGAGTTCTTTGATACTCAATCCAGGCTTGTTTCTTTCACTGAAGACCTCTTTGCCTAACTTGTTCAAAAGGTTAGAGGTAGCCAACTAGCCATGACTGAGAATTCAGTAAAACAAGCCAATGAAGAGATGATGAAAAATACTATGGAATACATTATGGAAAAAATGTCTTCAGATTCTTCCTCCCATAGCAAATTGGTCTCATTTATTGATCCTAACGAAGACAACAAAGGGGAAAGTGATGATGAAGAAGAAGAGAATGAGAA